AATAAAAGCTAAGCTACAATTCAAACGTTTTTAGCTAACTCAAGGCTTTTTTAAAAGCAGTTTTTCCTAGCTCAGGCCAACCAAAGTACAAAGAGCTGAAAGTAGTGAGAGAAAAGGGATTTATGTGCATGCATCAAAAGGAGAATATATTCCTTTGCAAATTTCCATGGGTTCCCTATATACAAATGAAGAGATATGTGATGTAACAATTCATTGTTCTGACACACATTACAATGATGATGTGCAGTTTTTAATGCATGGTGTTACATTAAGCTTAGCTCATGGTCTAACACCGTGTAACATAAATTTTTGTGAAGGGAGTAACATAACATGATACTGTCTCTTAAAAGACACACATGATTTTTTCAGATCACCTACTTTTTATCCATGAATACCCAATCCAAAAATCAAGGTGGCAGATGAAAGTGGAGTGAATGAGTATCTGCAAACCAGAGTATTTATCTTATGTAGTTTTGCTCATTGCTACCTGTAGTCAATGACTCCGGTCGATTTTTATGTTGTAATGCATGAGCAAAGTTGATGGACATATTTTTTTGTCACCCCCAGTTAGATTTTATTCAGGGTCAATCAAGGGAGACCTGACAGCTGTTAAGACTGTAAAACACACTGAGAATCCTCACAAGTGTTTATTTCCCAATAGAGACAAGAGCTTTGATTATGAACCTGTCACAAACCTTATTTTAGCTGCTCTCTTTTTGTCCTACCTTTGAGGCAGATTTTCTGGTTTAATTGATAGCTTATTTTAAAATAAAAATATCCATGTATGTGATTCTTATTGGAATTAAATAAAATTAATTATTGATTTGTCAATAACTGGATATAATAAAATCTCTAATGGAATATCAAATTAAAATCTGAAGTTTAAAGAAGGCACAGAATAAAGCTGCAAGTGATCAATCCTTTTGGAAAAGAAATTAAAAAAAGGTAGTTTTTACATATTTATATGTACTTATACACTTGCTTATTTATCTTGCCTGCAAGTCATTAGAAAGATTCAGGTTTTTCAAAGAATTTTTATACAAAAGACTTGAAATGAATCTTCAATGACTGCTGGATTTCTGAGTTATTAATTTTTAACTGAATCCTTTCTGAGGTACAATGCAAAGGAAAACCATCAAGCTCATGGACATCAACTGACATCTCTGTGGGTTTGACTGATCACATGTTTCAGTGCAAAGTTTAAACACCAGCAAAGGGAATTCCTCATTTTTTGGCCACATCTGAAAACTGCAATTTTTACCAGTGACTGAACACCCAGGACAATACTCTCCAACGAAGAAACAGTCTTTGCCAGTGCTCAACAGACAGGAACGTGTTGGTAGTACACAAAAGTAGAGGACTGCAAAATAGCTGGCACCAGATAGACAGATATTGCTAATATCCCTTATGGTACTGAATGTGGTCTTCTGAAAGCTCCTCATGAGCCAGTAAAAAAGGAAAATAGTACTCTAGTCTGTAGCATCAAGATGAAGCAGTATTTAGAAAGTCTAAGGGAGAGCAAAAAGTGTGCTTTTAATAGGACAGCAATCTTTATTAACAGAGATAAACACATTGCCATATAGCTCGACACTGTAAAGCAACTGGCACGAAATTACGCCACGTTGTGATTAAAGTTAAGCACTGTACAGTATCAGTTTAACACATTTTAAATAGTTTGGAAATTGGTGTGTTGTAATTGGATAATTATCATAATGTAGGAGGTTCTGCTGAGTTCTTGCAGGAATCTGTTCACCAGGTCTAAGCTATTTGATGTATTTATTAATTACTGGAGAGGAAGTATAAAATAATTGCTAGTAAAGCCTGCTGCTGGCACAAATGTTGTTGACATTGTAAGTAATAAGAACAGATTAGTTCTGTAAAGCAATTTGGATTGCTGGGTAAAATAAACTAATTCAAAATACATAATTTCAATGCTGGAAAATCAGGTTCATACATGCAGGAGACAAGAATATAAGTCAGACTTACGGAGTGGAAAACTGTGACTTAGAAACTAGTAACCACGGAAAGGGACTGCTGGGTTGAATGGCTAACCAGTTGAACATGAGCCCAGTTGCAAATACCATGGCTGACAGAAAGCAGCTATCATCCATTAATATACTGACATATTGGTATTATGTAAAAGTATTAGTATCTAGAAATGTCAAGAGTGAGACTTCGGCTGTAATCACATACCCAGTTCCACACTTTAAAATAGGAAAAAAGCTTTAATTAAAAAGATGACTCTTCTCGCCCAACTCAACTCTCTTGTAATCCTAGAGACGTTTAAAGTTTTCAGGCACTACATTTCCATCACTGGCCATGGACAAAATTCCTGTAGGCATGCAAAGAAACATCTTGGTGCTGACCACACACAGCATGCCACATCTGTGACTAGTTTAGAAATCCCAGCAAGGCTTTTTGCCACTTCATCATCTTTGAAGTGATTATTTGTTGAAGGAGGTGATCCTGCCCCTCTACTTTGCTCTTGTGAGACCTCACTTGAAGTACTGGTAGATTCTGGTGTCCTCAACATAAAAAGGACATGGAACTGTTGGAACAAGTCCAGAGGAGGGCCACAAGGGTGATGAGGGGACTGGAGCACCTCCTGTATGAAGACAGGCTGAGAAAGTTGGGGCTGTTCAGCCTGGAGAAGAGAAGGCTGTATGGAGCCTTCCAGTATCTGAAGGGGGCCTATAGGGATGCTGGGGAGGGACTCTTCATTAGGGACTGTAGTGATAGGACAAGGGGTAATGGGTTAAAACTTACACAGGAGAAGTTTGATTGGATATAAGGAAGAAGTTCTTTACTGTAAGGGTGATGAGGCACTGAAATGAGTTGCCCAGGGAGGTTGTGAATGCTCCATCCCTGGCAGTGTTCAAGGCCAGGTTGGACAGAGCCTTGGTGAGATGGTTTAGTGTGAGGTGTCACTGCCCACGGCAGGGTTGTTGGAACTGTATGATCTTAGGGTCCTTTCCACCCCAAACCGTTCTACGATTCTATGATTCTATTTGCTGTTTTTTTCTAGTCTATAGCTGAATTAAACTTGCTCTGAATTTAAAAGAGTATGGGACAGTGCACAGTTTTTCCTGGTAGGGAACCATCTGCAGTGGAGTATATAAAAATATTAGGCATGGAAAAATCACTTTTTCTCCAGTTAGTGCTGCTTCATGTTTGCTATAATAATTCCATTTGACTGAAGTAGAGAGAGAAAGAATAACAATGCATCTGAGTAGTTCGGTCACCTCCCAGTGAAAAACATTCAGATGGAAAATGTAAAACCTCAGCAGGTGGATTAGGGAAGGCTCCCATCTCAGAAAGCTGCCACCTACCTGCCCATAATGACTCTCTTAGGAGAACTTCCTTGGCAGAAGAGAGAATTCAAGCAAGGTAAAAGCTCAAACCACTGACCTACTGGGTGAAGCAGCGACACCAGTGCATTTAGGCTTTTAAAGAGAAGATGTAGCTGTCTAAATCTGTTAGAGAGTTCAGGCAGGGCATCCTGAGTATAAGGAAGCACCTGAAAGTACATCAGATAAGCACTGAAAGGCCAGATTTGAGATAAAGGTATGGGTTTCACACAGGTACGTTTTGTAGTGCCCTGCTTAGATTCTAGTTGGAGAGATGTGATGACCCAGTGACTGTAATGGCAGCCCAGGCACTCAGTATTGTTGCTGGGAATTTCTAGAAATGCACAGAAGTTAGACTAAACATATATGCTTCTATTTAGTTAAAAAATCAAGCAAAATCAAATTAATTTTAAAAAGCCCCACCTGAAAACATATATAAAACACTGATAATCTCTGTAAAAGCTTAGGTTTTCTCAGCATTATTGCAGTATATTAGAAAGATTCTCCTACTCAGTTGATCAAGGAAATCTTCTTGGGGAATTAGTAGGAAAATGCTAAATCTTTAAGGTCAGGATAGACTTTATTAAATTAATTCTTATGTCTTTGAATCCAGATATTTATTACTTTTTCTGCCATTACTGTGATGCTGATACTGGCTTTTGCGTTTTTTCGAATGTTTCACTGTACAGAAAAATCTCAGTTTTCTTTGATGTTTGATTTAGCTGAACGGCAGGTATAGCAAATATTTTTGTAATTTAATTAGCATTGCTCATGCAAAACTCAGAAATAGATTGAAGGCTGAAAACTCAGGATTGTTTTCTCTTCTCATCTATGAATAGAAATGTGGAAAAGATTACATAGACAAAACCCTAATGGTGAGGGGTCAGATTTCCAAAGATATTTTGGTGCCTGGAGATGGAGACAGATGACCACTGGGATTTTGAAAATCCCTCCTACAGATTAAATGTCTAGCTCCTATTGACTTCAGGGGAAATGAGGCACTAGCCCCTATAGGCACTTCCGATAATCTCACTAGCCATTTATCTGCATGTTAGACACCTATGTATTAGCTCCTGGAGACAGAAAATAATCTCTTAATTCACTAAATAATGTAATCACTTCATTTATTTCGAAGTCTGGCTAGTTTTAAATACATTTCCCTTTTATAAGGAAAAAAATTGATGTGGTTAAATACAATTAATTAAACCAGTTTAGTGTATTTAAGTAGATTTTTAGTTTCAACCCCAATGCATTTTGATACAAACCCCAAACAAAATCATCATTTAGGAAAGAAAAATTTTTTGCTGCTTTCTGAAATAATATGAACGTAAAACATAAGCATCTGAACAAATTACAATAATTTATATGTTAAAATAAAAAAGATAGTGAAATGTATCAAATATACATTGCAAATATGGTTTCAAATCAGCTTGTGTTCATTATTATGCCTAATAAGTCAGTTAGAAGTTTATTACCAAACACATATGCAAGGCAAAAATAAAATCAGCTATTTAAATCAAGGGTTTTTCTCATTGTTTTTAATCCTGATTAAAATTGGAAGTTTAAATTACTATGAGCAGGTAAAGACTAACACGGATCTGTAAGATACAGTCCTGTGAAACAGTCACAATCTTTTAAATCTGTCCTTTCCAGAACAACAAGAAATGTTGCACCTTGTTCTCCTGTTTATTGACATGGACCTACAAAGATATCTGTGCCTTAATCAGTGCAAACATAACACTATGTAAGTGACCTGTTCTCTGAGTTTATGACTACTCAGCTCTGTTGTCAGCATATCACAGGTAACATTTGCCCATAATAACCTGTAATATTCAGAGCTTATTTTATTGTGTATAAGACTGACTTCCCAAGAAACAGCTGGACCCTTTGAGTGTTTGGATTTAGTTCCTTGATTTCAGAACCCTTGACACATTCCTCCTATTTTTACCTGGCAAATAAACCAAAACACTCTGCTATTAGAAAAGTGAACATACCCAAATCTTGTACCATCCAGCTGAAAAGGGCACATACATGATGCATCAACGACGCTAAGCTGCGTGGTGCAGTTGACACACCTGAGGGATGGGTTACCCAGAGGGACTTGGACAGGCTTGAGAGGTGGGCCAGTGCAAACCTCATGAGACTCAACAGGGCCAAGTGCAGGGTCCTGCACCTGGGTCAGTGCAACCACTGGTACCAATGGACTGGGGAATTAAGGGATTGAGGGTACCTCAGAGAAGAACTTGGGGTTACTGGTGGATAAAAGGCTGGACATGAGCTGGCAGTATGTGCTCACAGCCCAGAAGGCCAATCATATCTTGGGCTGCACCCAAAGAAGCATGGCCAGCAGGGAGGGAGGTGATTCTGACCCTCTGCTCTGGTGAGACCCCACCTGGATACTGCAGCCAGCTCTGGAGTCCTCAGCACAGGGCAGGCATGGACCTGATGGAGAGGGTCCAGAGGAGAGCCACAAAAATGATCAGAGGGCTGGAGCACCTCTCCTGTGAGGAAAGGCTGAGAGAGTTGGGGTTGTTCAGCAGGAAGAAGCTAAGATACGGGTAGATCCTACTGTGGCTTTTCAGTTCTTAAAAGGGGCCTGTAAGGAAGATACGGAGAGACTTTTTAGCAGGACTTGTTTCGATAGGACAGAGGGGTGATGGTTTTAAAGTAAAAGAGGGGAGATGCAGGCTGGATGTGAGGAAGAAATTAAATTCAATGAGGGTGGTAAAATAGCGGCACAGGTTGCCCAGAGAGGTGGTGGCTGCACCATCCGTAGAGGCATTCAAGGCCAGGTGGATGTGGTTCTGGGCAACCTGATCTAGTTCAAGATGTCCCTGCTCACTGCAGGGGTTTGGACTAGACGACCTTTGGAGGTCCCTTCCAGCACCAACTATTCTATAATTCTGTATTAATCCTATGCTCTACAAATGTTTTGCTTGAAATATGCAGGGAATGAAGTAGATTAATTCATAACGCAGAGTAGTTGATAAAAAATAATATCCTCTTCTTTTCACTGACACTCAGGCCAAAACTTTTTATCTCTCTGTTTTCTAAATCTTGTTGCATCTTGCTGAGGAAGCTGAGAAGTGTGGGGGTGGACAGGGAGCTAAATTTTCTCATTGAGTGCATGAATAACAACACTTATGTGCATAAATTTTTTCCTCCACTTGGAAAATTGCCTCCTACTGCATTTCTTTGAGGCTGGAAGAATAACCTTTATACATCAAAGGGTTATAAAAGGCCTAAAGTAAACATTTAATGGTATGGAAACAATAATGTGACATCATTCAGGTAAATACAGCTTTATGCTGTGCAGCTTGTTTTACAGTAATGGTGTTACTTAGTCATTTATTCATGGTGTGAGGAGCTGAAGGGGAGGAAGTAAAAAAAACACACAAACAAACCAATCCCAAACCAAACAAAGCCAAATAGGTACACTTAGGGGAACTGCATTGTCTCTGAAAATTGAACAGTAAGTTAGGTTTTACTATACAAACTAGAGATGACAACATTTGCTTGCCTTGATCTCCTCTATACAAGCTCTAGTTACATGTATAAATGCATGAGTGTTTATTTACCATAAACCATTTTATTAGAACCAGTATCTGGCATTTTCTAATTTGTTTTATTTAATGATGAAATCCTTTATCAGCCCCCTTTGCCTTCCAGCAATCCCTGTTACTTCTGCACAGGGGAGCCTGTGGGCCATATGAAAGTCCTTCTGGCATTCTTTCTGTGTTAATAGAAGAGCAAGAGGGACCTTGAAGCTGTCCTCACTGGCCATGGCTATCCATGAGGATATCCATAACCAGCAAAGAGCTGCTGGGTTCTTGGCATCTTTCATTAAATCTCATTTAATTTGGTGTTGTGTTACCACAAAAGTGAAGGTGGGAGAGCACAGGGAGGCCTAGACAAATTCCTGAGAATCCAAAGTATCTGAAGGAAGAAAGGGAGGACTCTGTCCCTCACACAAACACAGGGCAAAGCAAAGCTTAAGCTTCAATTCCTCTTCATTGCCCGGCAGCCCCCAGCATATTGAAAATAAGGTCCTCTTCTCCTAGGAAGAACTGTTCATGCATTGCCAGTCTTTCCCAAGGTTTCTTGCAAGCAGGTTTCTGTACTCCTGGCCTGCCACTGGACTCGATGAGAGTTGGGTCACATCACTGTAGTGATGTTGGGATGAGAGATGAGCTAGCTCAGAGAAACAGATAGACCTGTGCCTCTTGGGGCTTCCCTGTGGGCTCTTGGGGGTCTTTAGTGTTACTGCTGCTATGCCATACTGTATGTACTGAGGGAAGATCTTTCCTCCCTCAGCTCCTAGGCACAGCCTGTAGGATGTGGCACAAATGGAACATAATGGTTTCTCTCTCATTTTAAGATAAGAGAGCTACAACTCAAATTTTCTCTCCCTTGTCTTTCTGGAGAGCTTATATGTTAAGAGCACTTGTATAAAGTTGCTGGAATATGAAGTATGTATTATTTATTATTCTCAGGCTTGCAACAGTTTGACAGAAGACAAGAGGAGATGACATTTGAAGGGAATATAGGGAAGAGAAAAGGTACATTAAAAGATCATGAGGAACACTTTGTCAGCTAGTTCCTGCCTGTACACTGCCTTGATTAGATGAAATGTGTGTGTACATTTATTCCATACCAGAAATAAGTGATGATGATACATAAAGGTTTTACAAGTACACCTTGGAGATAAATTAACTACTCAGAGTTGGAAATGTGAGCAATGATATAAAGTGTGTGCTTTGCTGTCACCTGTTTTGTGTCTTCCACTTGTGTTTCATAGAGGCTGGTTATTGAAATGCTTTGAAAGTTTTTGACAGCATTTGGTTTGGAATTTTTTACCCCTCCAACTGCCCAGCAGAATATGTTAACAAGCATGTGTTCAGCCAAAAGTGGAATCATGTCAATGTCTCACCTGGCTCATAAAAGCTCCCTACCACAGAATAATTGTCTTAAGACTTTTATTAATATTATGCTCCCTTTGGAAAGAATTTGAAAGAGGGGAAGCACCTGCTGCAGATCATAAGTATAATTTCTTTTGAAAGTATGGGATTCCTCATCTGTTCCATTTTGTGGATCCCCAAGCGGCTAGGTGTCTTTAGGTGAGGGCTCCTTGCAAAAAGAGGGGAAAAAAGAAATCACTTTGGTAAAGCTTAAGAGGTAACGGCAGGCAGGCTCCTGGGGACAGATCCTTCTTTGGAGTAAATTGCTATAGCTCTCCTGGAGTTATGACAATTCAGACCAACAAAGAGCTCCCCTTTGAGCTCTATACTTGTCCTTTTGGGAATTAGACTAGACCATTTCAACACATTTATTGGAGGAGATGTGCAATCTTTGCTTCTATTTATGAAGTGTAAAAAGAGGCAATCTCTTCAAATTGTGGGAGTTTATCTTGAAGTTTATATGATATTCTTTCATAAATTGCTGTTGTAGCAAGAAATTGAAGCCATTTATCAGCAGGTATTGGAGATGTTACAATGATGCATTATTATACATTTAGCTACCAATATTTAGCTATCAATATGATGCATTTGTCATCAATAACTAGCCAATACTACCAATGATTTATCAGGAGAAGTTAGATGAAAATACTCTGATGTATCATTAGAGAGACAGAGTGTCTGGAATGAAAGAATACAGTATCATTTATATTTCTTGTGCTACTGTGTCCCAAAATTGCATCACTACAGACCAGGGAGGGGGGTTAGAGTGTGTCTTGCCTTTACAAGCAGGTGGTTTTGCCTCCTTGCGCAGAAGTCTGCACAGCTCTGAGCCCTGAAAAACATCCAGGTGACAAATTTTGGCATAGACGTCTGCAGATGAAGAAATTCACAATCTAACTTAAAAAAAATGCAATTTGAGAATAAACAGCCTATTTTATTAGTTCACTCAACATGAACTAAGTGCTGCAGGTTTGCACTTTGAAGCTTTTGTTTGTTTTTACCAAACGATTTTCAAAAATATCAATGACCATAAAAGCAAGTTAGTACAGAAAATAGCACTCCAAATCCTGAGTAAAAAACACAGGATGGGAAGAGGTGCCCAAACAGATGTCTGAGTATGTTGGATAAACTGGACTTATGAAGGTTGCCAGTCATCTGAATAGTCGTTTCTCTCTCAAGTCAGTGGTGATCCAGCGGAGATGCAACGTCATAGAATCACAGAATAGTTTGAGCTGGATGGACTTTTAAAAGTCATCTAGTCCAGCCTCTCTACAATGAATAGGGACATCAACTAGATCAGGGTGCTGTCAGCCCTGACCAACCTGACCTTAAATGTTTCCAGGGATGGGTCTTTACCCTTCCAAATCCTTTTCCACATTTTTCATGGCATTTCAGCTCATGGGTGAATCGGAAGCTATTCAAGGGTAGCTAGCTATCCATGAGTTTATTATAATTTTGTATCTGAATATTAGATAGCAAAATATAGGCAGCCATGGGGTGAAGTTGCAAATAGCATTCCTGAGCTATGGAAATAAACCCTTCAGTTTAGCAAGGACAGTCATAGGAAGAAATAGCAAGTAAAGTCTCAACACTGTGTACAAACACTGAGACTGCAAGAGGTTTTGAAGCAGTTGGTCCATCTGTGGCTCACTAAAAGGAGTAAAACCATTCTTATTCACATTAATGATTGTCCCTAATAGTAATTCAGAAAGCAGCCACTCAGAGAGATCACACATGGCCATGATTCCCAGAACAGCAACTCTGAAACATTTTTTTTCTATAACAT